GGGAGGGGGTAATACTGAAAACTGTTTTTAAAAATATATAAAATTCATAGCCTGAGAAATGAAGTATAATTGGTTTTAAGAGAACAGCTATGATACTTGGTCATATAAACACCTTAACAGTGGTTATATGTATTTTTTAGGGCTGGTTAAATGCGAGATAAGACCCTATGTAATTCTCAGACCATTTAAAGTAATTTTTACTATGGGTATAGCATGGACTGAAACATAAGCAACTTTTTGACATTGATTTATGATGCTCCAAATGCTTTATGAATTGGCTAGGAAATAGGTAAAGGCTGTGATGTAGACCTGTTTTAATTTGACTTGTTATATCCCTCCATGTACCTTTAAACTAGTTCTCTGTTGTAAGTAAAAATAACATTAAATAATGCACAGCTGATCAGAATCTATGCTCCTGGCGTATTCCAGGGTATAAAAACCGAATGTGTACAACCTTTGCCCCCAGTCCTCAAGACATTTTCCCTGGAATTATTTCTAGTCATTCAGCTATTTTTCTCATAAAAAGTTATTTGAGGTTATACAGTTTTTGAACAGTAAAGACAGGAGGAAGGGAATGTTAAAGCTGGGAACAAGGGTTCAATTTTGCCTGAACTCCAGTATTTGTGGTAAGATAGTAGAAATAACCCCCAGAGTTGCACTATTGCAATCTGCCCAATATCTAGACCTGGAAATATTTTTATCAGCCTTTTGCAAATGCAATTGTCATGATTGATTGTTTATATGGCCCATATAAATAATATCCAAAAAGCATTTGCCATTTTTCACCTCTAAACAACCATGTTGCAGGTCACTGTTATTTCCATTTTACAGGTGGAAGTTTCCAGGTGGGACTAGGGGCTATGACAAGACTAGGCTTTTCTTGTGCTGTTGTCTTCCCCTTTGATTGATTGGAAGATGTAGGGAGAGGTTCAAAGACATATTCAATTAGCAATCATCTTTTTTGCCACTTTTTCTTGCAACTTTTTTCAGAAAATGGGTTAAGGAGAGAAAGATGAAATAATCCGCACAGTGGCTGTTGATGGCAGCAATAGGAGGGGTTTGTTTGGAAGCACCTAATAGGGGTGTCCTAGCGGGAGAGGGAGAGAGAAACTTGTTCCAGGCCACCCAGTATATCAGCAGCTGATCTGGGCACTATTTGAAAGCCCCTGGGTCCATCTACCTGGACCACATTAGCTCCACAGGTGCAGGTGGAAAGCCTTGAGTTTTATAGCATGTAGAAAGTAAGTTCTGCCAAGAAGGGTGCTATTCAGCATAGGATTATAGGCTTCAGCAGGTGTTTTCAGCTGGAATATCCTCAAGTTTACATACGAGGCTGTGTCTGGGTGAAGACAGACAGAGGTTCTGTGGTTTGGGCACACAATGCTTGCTGCCTGTAAACAATTGTCTGAGTGTGCCGTAAATGAGGATTCAACCATTGTCTTCACTCTTGTAACACAACATTGACCTATTTAGTTCAGTACTGCCTCCTTTTGACCAGCCTTTCTGAAATTGCAGGTTTTTCCCAAAGGTGCTACCAGATAACTATTCTTTTTAATGTGAGATCTCCAGGATCAAGCCTGGGGAGCTTCTGATCGCCTGGGGAGCTTCTGATCTGCTCTACCACTGAGCTTGGGCTCCTCCTCAAAAACTGCAGTGAGGAGGGATTTGACTCCCTTTTGACATAGATCTCTGTAAACCCGGATTAAGCAGCTGGGATCAGAGACCCTGCAAATGGCCTCCATTCCACATCCAACAAAGAAGCAAATTCCCAGTTCTGCCACAAGCGTTGTCCCCCAAACAGCAAGGATTCATACATTCATAACATTATTGTTTTTCATGTCAGTATGAGACCTAAGATCATTCTGCCTTTTGTCTCTACTGATGTGGCAGAGCTAAAAAATGAACATACCCTTGGAAGCTGCTTTCTGATCATACATCTGGCCCAGTATCATCAACACTTGATTTGCCATAATTGGTTGGAATGTTCAGAGCCCAGCTAGAACAACAGCGACTGGACCGGAGACTGTCTGGATGGAAAGCCATTGCTCTGCCACCGAGATATGACTCTTCCTCCTGGAAGTGGGTAGTTCAGACTTCTTTGACTTGTTTTCAACTCAGATGATGCATTGAGAAACTGATAGGAGAAACCAAATGCCGCTAGGATTCAGCTGCAGCTTTTTGCGGAATGGCTTGCAGCTCCATCCTACAGATGTTTTCTTAGCTCGATTGCAGTCCAAATGGAATGTTATTACGGTTCTAGAGAACAGGAAACTAAAGCTGGTGGCAGAAGTAATATTAGGAAGTAAATAAGGAGCTCATTTCGAGAGGTCCTAGGGCAGAAATGGGGAACACTTGGCCATTCAGGTGTTATGGAATTCCTCTCTTAATCTCTCACCACTGGCCATGGGAGCTAGGGTTGATGGGAGCTGCAGTTAAAAAAAACTCTGAAGAACCCATATGCTAGGGCATGGCTACATTGATTTCTGTAGGGAAAGGAAGGTGGGGTATACGAGTAATAAGCAAACAGTATCATGGATTATATGGAGGCAAATCTAGTGCCGGCGAGTGGCAAGCTACTGCAGCTCCTTGAGATGTGTATGTGACGTGTGTTTGTCATGGTGCTGTTTTTAGGTGTGTTCTTAAAACAATATTATGGGTACAAATCAAGAGGTAGTATGTGAGGTGGCCTTAAACAAATACCCATTGACACGTGAAAAGAGAAAGCAAGCAAAAGGATGCAGTGATATTTCAGTAAAAAACAAGTCACGGTGTGAACGTAAGTCACCTTTGCTGCTTTAATGGGGGAGCAGATGGGTGAAATATACAGGAGACCGACACCAACCATATCATCAAACTGTATTACTATCACTATCCATTGAGTCCTGTTGCCATTCTCATAGAAAAAAATGCCTGCTTTTCAGATCTATAATTGAAATGAGTTATTATTTCTTTTTCCTGACAGTAGCTTCCTGAATTCTTGAAAGTTAAAAAAAGAAGAATCAGCACTTGAATAAACCCATTCCTAACTCTGTGTTCAGTACAGGGGAAAAGTGGCATAAAGGCGGGAGAAGAATAAAAGATGTCTGAGATGCACGATGAAGAATGTTGGGAGTTATAAGAATTTTTCTGCCTAAATATATATAGGATTATGCATGTGAATAATCAGGAATATTAATAGTTATATAATGATTGTTTATTTACTGGTTCATGTTAGAAGAGGATAGTATAACTTAAAGTAGCTTGTTACATCTATGAGCCTTGGTTTCATCCTTGCCAACTCACTGATTCTGTCTGTCTTATGGCCATTCTTATTTTACGTTGCAGGGCAGGTTCTTGCTTGACTATCACATGTGTCCTAACATGTAGGTGATACAGTTACCCATTGCCTATAATCCATGAGATTGTGGACATGTGTCCCTTGTCCAATATGACAGTTTGTATCTTGGATTGCATAATAGACAAGCAGCAGAAAGCAAACATGAATCCGTAGTGACATGAATTAACATTGTATTAGATTTCAAAATAAAATGCAAATACATATTCTACAGATGATTTGAATCAGGTTAGATATACCATATGTAAACAGATATTCATGGGGTTGGACCAATGATAAGGAATATATACAATCTTATAGCCTCCTTTTTCTTTTAAACGTCTCATGGCTGCTGATAAGCTCCCAAGTTCTGCAGCACCCTTTTATTGTTAGCTTTTGCTTTCATTGTTGTTTTCTTGATCATGTATCTTTGTAGCTAGTATTTTTACAATGGTAGTTATAGGGAAAGGCTGTTTTGACTGCAGAAGGCATGAGTTCAATCCCTGGCATTTCCAGGGATTGCGAAGGAAAATCCCTGCCTGGCAGTCTTAAAACCTGCTGCTGGTCAGTGCAGACTTAGAAAATGCTGGCCAGGTTTAAACAACATACGGGTAGTCGTTGTGGGTTATTTAACCCACAATGA